TACCTGGACATCCAGGCCACGCCACACATCCTCGCTCCAGTGCGTGGCCTGCAATGTCAGGACTGAAGGATCAATCGGTCTGGGATCCACTGACACCCGCATCAGCGTTGTAATAGTAATATATGTATTAGTAATATATGTGTTAGTAATTTTATTTTATAAATAAATTTAATTTTATTTATTTTTAATATTGTTAATACATATGTGAATAAAAAACAACATTACCCATTGGAACTCCCTACGTGTCCCTGCGATCTTTTAGCACACGTCGTCCTGTTATGCCCTATTTGCTTGCCTAAATCGCATCTCACAGTACCTCTAGGACCTTCATCCATTTCATTTCTCAATCGTTTAGCCTTCAGACGACCTTTAACACGAATCATTGACGGGTCATGCACAACTTGTGGTCCAATGTAAGTAGGTCGATAAGATATATCCGGTATGGGCTTGAATACTCTTTTATAAGAAGCCGCATACTCCGATGATGAGAAAAATATATCAACAAAAGCATCATATGACAAACTACGTTCTCTGCATACCGCTAAGATATGTGAGCAAGGAATCTTATAAATATTCAGCTTCTGACATGTGCAATGGCGACGATGCAAATTCACCATTTATTTTGTACCACCCTTCCCCACAGTTCGACCACCACGACCCGTCTCCACTTGGTATAAACCACGGCTTATGTCAAATGTTGTGACCTTGTGATGCTTTGCCTTTTCCGTATTTTTTTCAATCAGTTCAGTCACTTGTTGGCAGTAGCGATGCCCTTCTGGTAACCTTCTCTTACTAGTTTCTCTTCTTTCCACAAAATAGGCATTCACACGATAGAATGACAACTCAACTAAGGCGGTTATAGGCAGGTATCGTGCACTTTTCATGACGCTATTGAAAACCTCAGCCATGTTCGTTGTTGTGGTTCCATACCTGTACCCCTCGTCGTGGTGTAAAGACTACTTCTCCAAACCAATGTTCGCTAGATATTCTCGTGCTTGTGCCTGCATTTCGCCTATGCTGTTAAATCCACCATCAAATTTCTTCTTTTGACGTTGACTTGCTGTCCAAACGAACAGATTCTTCAAGTGAATATCTTTAAATTGAGTATGCAAATTAGAAGTGACATGCCATATGCAAAGCCTATGTCGTGGATCTGGCTCCTCCCATCCACTACCTACCTCATTAAGTGCCTTCAGAATTCCAACATGTCGATCCAAAATAACACACAATTCTCTACGTGTGATAAAATGACGTATGCACCCCATAAACCACGGCCAACTCTCTCCATTCTCGGATTCACAAATACCGAACGCCAAAGGGAAAAGTTGATTATTAGCATCACTACCCATTGCCACCAACAATGTACCTTTATACTTCCCATATAAGTGCGCTCCATCAATGGTCAGTAAGGGATGGCTTAAAAGCCCAAAAAAACTCTTTGAAACTGCACAAAGTCAGTGGTACCTGAAAGACGGAGAAAATTAGTGGGACGAATTTAAAATGGAATGTAATATGATACACTAAAAGATATTAATAACTCATTGGTACCTGAAAGAGGTGGGTACCAATGCACGACCGCCCCTAGACTGGAATGTCGTAATGCCAACATGAAATGGGGCAAAGCAGAATACGAAGCCGGGAGGTACAAAGGTACATACCCGTACTTTTCCTTCATTAAATGCCAACAGTAAATGCCAACATGTAATCTCCAAATATTTCACCAATAGTTTTTTGCTTAGCCAAACAACTTCGCTTGTACGAAGGTACATACCTGTACTTTTCCTTCATAAGCTCACTAATAGTGCGGACTTTTAGTGATGGATCAGTACAAAGAAGATCAATAATTTCACGGGCTATGAACTGAGCTGTGATACCAGCATGGTCATTGTTGTCGACGTTACCTAGACAAGTAGGTATATGAGGACATGCATAACGAACAACTTTGAAAATATCTAGCCCCACATGTTTCTTAGTAGCCCGGATCCACCAAGTGCAACCGCATTCCTTTTTCCGCTTACACTCTGCCACCCATTTGTGTTTGTCAGACTTTACAACTGAGAAAAATTGGTTCCTCTTTACAGAGTACACTCTAACCATGTTAATTAGTTGTTTCTTATCATCAAAATCTTGCCCAACCTCGAATTCACCATCTGCAGAGAAGCGATTGGAAGTTGTACAACCCCTCCATGATTCATCAAATCCCGTAGGGAGCTCATAAACTTTAGTGTAGTGGCTGGATGGAGCATTGCCACTTATGAAATCACCACCATCTTCATCTGAATTTGTTAGTGTGTCATGATTCACATTATCATCTGCATCATCGTCAATGTGTTGTGAATCCAGAAACGTTGCATCACTGTTCACGTATCTTCCATTCTCCTGTGCAACCATATTCATCACAACTGGAACACTTGTGGATGGGTAAGATAATGACGGGTTGTCAGGTTGTATGGGCAACACCGTCACTTCTTCAACATATATCTCCATGGTATGCATACCAAGATTCATGATTAAGGTCCACATCCCCATAACGGCTTCATCGTCAGCAAGAGGCATCAACATGTATGATCCACATTGAATGGGATATTTTACTTTCAAATACAACTTGTTCATACGATTGATGGATGTGGCGGTATAAATTTTATTCATTAACTCAACAACATCCACCCCACAAGAAACAATAATTATCTTCCGACTCCCCCCTTCGTAATGAATTCCGTTCGACTCCTCGATTATATTTCCTCCCTAATGACACACAATGGGGAAATATGGAGACATATTCTATCAAAAACAATTCCAAAAAAAATGATTTATGGCGCACATCGAAAATTCAACTACTAATTCAAACGAATTGTATTAAATCATATGTATCATTTTTATGATTTCATTCAATTACAAAATCAGATAGATACATATTAATGATGTGCTACATTACTTTTTTCCAAACTACCCGTATATCAAACTCAATCCAACCAACACAATAAATAATTCAAATTCTACAAATTATATAAATTCAAGCATAATAACTAAATTACCAACTTATATATCTCATAACATCAAATACCCAAAAAAATCCAAAAAAGAGCAAATTTCGAACAAAATTTTTAAAAACCCTAGGTTTAGCAAAATAGATGAATTACCTCGATTGAAACAGTTGAAAGTCGGTAGAATGGAACACAAACGACCTCGGGTACACCATGTCTCTTTTGCCTTTGATTCAAACACAATCCAACCAACACAAAAATAATTCAAATTATACAAATTATATAAATTCAATCATAATAACAACATTAAGAACTTATATATTTCATAACATCAAATACAAAGAATAAAAAAAATAGTAATTTCGAACAACAAATTAAAAAAATCTAGGTTTAACAAAATTGGTGAAATACCTCGATTCAAACGTTTAAAAGACGGTAGAATGGAGCATAAACGATCTCGGGTACACTGTATCTCTTTTGCCTTTGATTTGAGCTTGGTTTGGAGGCGTTCCGACAAGAAATTGGAACTTGTGTTGCTGCAGTGGCGTTCGTCATTCGCAGAGGGGTTTTTTTCGCCGGTGTTCGTCACCTGGAAGGAAAGAAGATATTTGTGCGAATTAATGAACCGCCACTTCAAGTGACGAATTTTGTGATACAGGAGGAGAGCCGCCACTTGGAGTGTCGGCTTTTGTGAAGTCATAGGTCAGTATTTTGAGAATTATTTATTTAATTAGCATTATTCTGGAGAAAATAAAACTCTCTCGACATCAATAAAGAAAAATATTTAATAGAGGAAAATATAAACTGAAACAAAAAAGGAAGCAAAATCATAACAGCAGAGGTAGGCGTAGGGGTGGTTCAGTACGGTATACCGAATATTTTCTCTCATACCTTTGCCGTATCAAAACTTTCGGTATACAAAATTTATATACCGTTACCTTACCGAAGTTTCGGTATACCGCATTCCGGTATACCGAAGTTTCGGTACGGTAACGGTATGGTATCGGTAAATTACCATGCATGTCTCTCAATACAACAAATTATCATAGACTAATGAAATATACTAAATCGTTGTGACTAGCGACATATTTAATCTATTATTAACATGTTACAAAATACAATTAATAATCTATTGATATCAATTAGACAAAAAAATCTATTGATGTCAATTTAATATTGAACAATAATTATTATTAGTATATTTAAGTAGTTTAATCTTCCAAAAAAAGTAGTTCAACATGTCACGTAATAAAAAAATAACACATTCTCCTAAAATAACTTGAACAATATAGATATAATTAAATCAATAGTGATCTCTAACAAAAATAAATAAAATTATTCAAACAATATGGATATGAAATCATTGATTTCTAATATGATATTGTGTATTTACTCATTTTTATAATTTAAAAAAATATTTGAATAAGACTTTCAGATAAAGTTGTGTGTCTTGACTCTCGGAATCCTTATGTAGATGCACTTGTCACATATGTTATCCTCTTCACTCGTCAACTACTAAGCGTTTCAGCCATCGCGACTCGCAAACTCTTGGAACAAGATGAACTTGTTTCTGAACATTATTACATTACTCATTAGTCATTAGGGTTAGTTTGAATGTTACGTTGTAAAAGCCTAGAAGGTTATAGTGGATTTGGGAAATTGAGCCTTTATTTTTATATTTTGGCATTTGTAACCAACCTAAATATTAATCTGGGCTTTAAAATTGTAATGGATTTTTTACAATATTTTAGAATTAAAAGTAATTGTTGGGTAGAGAGTCGGTATGGTATTATACCGGTATACCGCAGTATTTGAAAACATTTACCGTTACCATACCGAAATAAATCGGTACGGTATGATACTTTACCGAAAATGACAGTATACCAATATTACGATATTTTCCGATATTTTTCGGTACTGTACCGATTTTTAGGTATTTTTAGCCACCCCTATGTAGGCGTGAGGTCCTAACTGTAGTCCTGCCTGCTGAGGAATGGGATCCCATAAAAGTAATTTCCCAATCGTCTTCCGCCTAAACCCAACAGCTGTATTAACTTTCTTTTTCAACGAGAAACACCTAAACCCTAACCAATAACTGAAACTCTGAAAGGCTCAAACAGAGAGGAGTTCCCAGAATAAAAAACCGCGATCGAGAATAAGAAGCAGAAATGGGGAAGCTTCCGCCTTCAATGAGGTCATCAGTTAATTACGGTCTTAACAATCTGATGAGAACTGCACCATCTTCCCCCAAGCCACAAGTAATCCAGCAAATCCCCAAGAAAAAGGCCCAAGTAAGTCCTCAACCTCAGCCTGAGGCCCCTCTCATCACCTTCACTTCCCCTAGTCTTTCCCAAGCCAAAACCCTCTTCAGCTCTCTCATTTCCAATCCCAAGAAGAGCACCCCTTCTCACCCCAAAGTATTCAACTCAATCCTTCAATCATTTTCTTCGATCTCAACTCTCCAAGATGCAATCTTTTTCATGAACCACATGGTGAAGACCCACCCGCCCTTTTCTCCGGACAGGTCTACCTTCCATATTCTTCTAATACAGGCTTGTAAATCATTGGACGAATCTTTATCCCCAGTGCACCAGATACTCAATTTGATGAACACCAATGGGTTTCCTCCTGATATGGTCTCCATGGATATTGCTGCAAGGACCCTTTGCATCTCTGGTCATGAAGAGCATGCCATTGAACTAGTGAAGGATTTTTGTAGTAAGAATGTACTTCCTGATTCCCATACTTACAATTTTCTCGTGAGGCATTTGTGTAAGAATAGGTCAGTTAGCACCATGAATGGTTTTGTCCAAGATATGAAGGAAAATTTCAGAATAAAGCCCGATCTAGTCACTTACACTATAATGATAGATAATGTTTGTAATAACAAGAATATCCGGGAGGCAACCCGGCTTTTGGGTGTTTTAAGTGAGGAAGGGTATAAACCAGATTGTTATGTTTATAACACAATTATGAAGGGTTATTGCATGTTAAGCTCTGGGGGTGAAGTGTTGGGTGTGTATAAGAAGATGTTGGAAGAAGGTGTGAAACCTGACCTTGTGACCTATAATACATTGATATATGGGCTCTCTAAGTCGGGCCGGGTCCAACAGGCCAAGAAATTTTTGGGTGTAATGGTTGGAAATGGTCATTTTCCAGATGCTGTCACATATACTTCCTTGATGAATGGGATGTGTAGGGAGGGGGATGCCAAGGGAGCATTGTCATTGCTGGAGGAGATGGAAGCAAAGGGATGTGAACCTAACTCTTGTACGTACAATACATTGCTTCATGGGCTATGTAAGGCTAGGTTGTTGGAAGAGGCTGTTGAATTGTATGGCATTATAAAACAGAATGGCATCATGCTCGAGTCAGGTGCGTATGGGACATTTGTTAGATCTCTTTGCCGGAATGGAAGGGTTGCAGAGGCTTATGAAGTGTTTGACTATGCAGTGGATAGTAAGAGTTTGAATGACGTGACGGCATACACCACACTGGAGAGTACTTTGAAATGGCTGAAAAAAGCCAGAGAACAAGGACTTGCTATCTAGCTTATGCATCTGGTATTTGTTTTCCCTCCTATGGCTGTGTTTGGATCACGCAAAATATTAGGGAAGGTTAGATTATGCTGAGAAAGTTATTTTCTTATGCTTGGTTTTACCTATGGAAATGCAAAGGAAAATGGAACATGATTAATGTTTTTAAATTTCTTACATGTATTTAGGTTTCACAGTACAAGAAGTGAATTTGAACAAACATTTAAATCAAATTTATTGAGCTTGAGCCAGTGTTTTTCCCTCATTATTTTGTCCTTCATAATTTCTCCTATGTTTTTACGTTATTTTCTTTCTATAGCATTTTCTGAGATCCAAAGAGAACCTAAGTGTTTGCTGGCCTTTGTACCTTGCAATGTAGGAAGTAGAAACCATATAAGAAATGGGCTAGTTATGTAAGAGTGCAACCACAACGCTAAAACACATAGAGTGAAGGCTTATAAGAATCTACGATAACAAGGGAATAAACAACCATGGATCAGGAATGTTGAGTTAGATGATCTTTTACTGTATGTGGAACACTGAAAATGCCAGGAAAAGTTAAACGGAGAAGCATATTAGGAGGAATTCCAATGGAAAGAAAATGTTGAGGAGAATAAATAATTGTTTCAAATTCAATAAATTTCTTTCTATTTTTTCCATAATTTGTTTTATTTATTTACTTCTTCCGGATAAGTTTTGGACAATCTTATCTAAACATATGTAATAACAATTAAAACATCTACTCCGTATCATATTTCATTTTCCTTCATATTATTCGAGGTAACTCCAAACATAAGAAAATAACTTTTTTTAGTATTCGTTCAAATCCATTTTTTATTTTTTTGCTTATTTATTTAATGTGATTACTTAGCAATCTAAACATATGCAAAAAATCTAAAATGTCAATCATATATATTTCATTTTCTTTTTGTATTTTTTAGAGGTAAATCCAAAAGTAAGAAATGATTTTACCTAGCATATTCTTTCTTTTCATTAGGATTTTCGGGATCCATAGCAATTAAACCTAGGACAGTTTAAACACCAACCATGCTTCTGCCAGTGATCCAAAAATATTACTTCGTATTAAGAAAATAAAACACCTCATAAATATATACTCCTTCCGTTTCAAATTATCTTAGACTAAATAACGTGACATTTTTCAAGCCTGTGATTTTGTTCACGCCCTCCTTGGATGATGTTGATCCCTCCCTAATTTCCTGCCATGTGGCATGGCAACTCATTTTTTGCATTTGTTACAACCTTTTCATTTTTTATCCAATTGTTTTAAAAAATATATAAAATTTTATAATCTTTTATGATCTTTCATATGGTACCAATATTGCATATGTAAAATTTAAAAAAAAATCAGCTAAACATAGATATCTGGAAGAGGTAGTTTATTTTCAAAAGTTTTTATACGTAATATTGGAAAGACCATAAAAAATTTTAAATTTGATATATATTTTTAAAAAATAGGACCAAAAACGAAAAAGTTATAACAATTGCAAAAATAGGGGTGAACGAAATCACACTCATTTTTCAATGAGAAGCTTAAATCGGGACGGAGGTATTACTTGTTATATGTACACTAGCCTGGGACTTGGGAGTACTAGATGCATAGTGTACCGGTTGTAAATGGTATTGTGCGAAATTGCGATGTACATGAGCCCTATAGTCGGAGATTAGTAGTCTCGAGGCAATGCTGCACGCTTAAATCTTTTGAGGGGATTCACACCTACTCACATATGCTTACTGCTAACTTCAATATTTACCTGTTCGCAGGGCCTGCGTGTTGGGGCGCGCAGGCCATAGGAAAACATCTCTTTAATCAATTTGCAGTCAAGATGAACACGTTAAATGTACACGTTAAAGTTTTAAACATACACACTCATCTCAAGAATAATTAGAACAAGAGTAATTTGTAACTATATACTCCGTATCTATAGTTGAGGCATGCAGGCTGCAGCCATATATGAATATAAATAATATTCTCGGTTATTTTAGAACACTTTTACTTTTTCCTTTATTAGGACAAGGAAGTCCATGGAGCTTCCCCATGGTATCTGGAAACTTTGAGGGCTACAAAATGAGTAGGTAAAGCTGTGAAGTGTGCATACTTGGAGAGTCGGTGTACCACAACAAATATAGCAGTGAAGCCACAAGATAGGGTAACATGACAACAAAATTCGTTGTAATGTCATCCCATTCTCGTGCTGGAATGGATCAAGGGTTGAAGAGATCCAGTTGGAGCTTGATAGAAACATTGATAGGTCGACTGATACACACTCTTGAGCATGCATCTTTATATCTTTCCGCATAAGGTGCCCAAAGAAATTAGAGGATAAACGAGCCCTTGTGCGGGTGACTCCCGCAATGCCCACCTTGAGTGTTCTGTGGAATTGATGCGTGATAGTTAGAGTTCGATTGGGTTTGGAATGAGAGATGTGATACGTCCTCTGTAATACAATTACGCCTTCCCGAGTAAAAATATCACAAGATAATTTTCCATGGTGGCATGTTGTGTAAATTCACAAGGTTTGGCAATATCATATTTTCTATACGCAACTAAGCCAAAGAATTTGGGACTGTCAATCTTCATGCTCCGGCAGTTGAACAGAGAAGGCTGAGAAGCCAACAATGACGTGTTTGTATCCTTTTCATGAACTCTTGATAGGTCGTCGACAATGACATTATCTTTTCTAGACATATACTGGTACTTTTGATATCGGTGCTCATTTCATTTTCATTTTCATTTACCCCAGTGCCGCAAAGGCTCCCACCTACGGTGGGGTAAGGGGGGGTCGGATGTACGCAGCCTTACCCCTGTACTAAAGCACAGAGAGACTGTTTCTGGATGACCCATAGTGAAAATCCCGTCCAAAATTGCATGGACTGACTGCTGCTTCATAACAAAGAAGCGCAGACAGTTTAGTGAGCCATTTTGCTTGATTCCATCATAATCTCAAGCCAAAAAATAATGAATCTTTGGCTCCATTGCAATATCGGTGCTACAATTAATTATTTTTTGTTGATTTTGAATTGGTTGAAATCTTAGATTGTATGATAATGTATTGTCGTGTTTTACAGATTTTCTAATGCAAGAGTGATTTTTTTCGAATTCAAGATTTCGATTGTTAAATACTCGGTGAGAGCATCTCTAATGGTTAGCATCTAATGCTTATCATAAGTGCATCCACAATAGACTCCTTTCTAGTCTAAATAAATTATGCAAATGTCAAATTATTGAAAGACTTTCTAATCTATATACAGAGTAATAAAGGGAAAGTTCCCGAAATAGGACTAAAACAGTTTCAAAATTCAAAAATAGGATTGTCATGGTTTTTATTCTCAAAATAGGACTAATTATTGTCATGTTTAGAAAATACTGTCATGTTTGAAGTCTGGTACTGCCAAAACATGGTAGTCCTATTTTGGAATTTTCAAAGTGTTTTAGTCCTATTTTGAGTAATATGTCAGTAATAAATAGTGGAGTGAGTAGATATAAACTTGTAAAGGAAGCCTCCAACACATAGTCTCAAAACCTTTGGAATTTAATCAAGTCTCCATGTGGAATATTATTTAAAGGAAAACACCAAACTATATTAATTTAAACAAGATTATGCTCCATCCACAAAGCATCCCTAGCATTAGGGGTGGAGTCGGTTCGGGCCACCCGGTCTGTGACCCGGCCCGGCCCGGCCCGGTACTGTGCGGGTCCGGGACCGGCCCGGCCCGGTACTGTGCGGGCCCGGGACCGGCCCGGTTGGGCGGTCCGGGACCGGGTATGGGCCCGAACCGGTGGGAAGGGGCGGGGCGGGCTCGGTGCTGGAATAATGTGACCCGGCCCGGCCGGGTCGGGCCCGGGCCCGGGTCCGGTCCTATTTTAATTTTTGTTTGTTTGTTTGGGCTACTAACCGTTGGGGGTGGGGCTGGGGACAACCCAAACGGCTATATAGCCGTTGGGTGGGGTAAAGGGGGGGTCCAGGGGGGTTGGCTGGTGGGGGTGGGGGGGGTGGGGGGTAAAAAACCCTATAAATACTCCTAATCTTAAACATTTTTTCATATCTCTTCTCCAATTCTTCCTAAATCCTATTCTTAACTCTCTACTCTCTAATTCTCTTATTCTCCATTCTCCAATATATTATATTTATTATTTATAGTTTATATTAATTATCTACTTATATAAACTATAAATAGATATTAATAGTGTTATAGTACTTATATTTGTTATCTAATTATATATTACTTATATATTTATTATATCTATTAATATAGTTGGAATTATATCTAATTAATTTGAAGTCATTCTATTACTCCCATCCGAAAGATCGAAAGTCCGAAAGAGGTACGAAATTATTCTATTATTTACACTTGTTTAATTACTAGTTAATTTGCTACATTTGACTCTTGTTTAATAGTTAGATAAATAGTTAATTAGTTTTTTACAATTTTTTATTAATTGCTACATTTGACTCTAGTTTAAAAAATATGTTGTACACAAAACTAGTTAATTCACTACTTAATTTGCTATAACTCGAATTAATAGTTAGATAAATAGTTAATTAGTTTTTTACAATTTTTTATTAATTGCTACATTTGACTCTAGTTTAAAAAATATGTTGTACACAAAACTAGTTAATTCACTACTTAATTTGCTATAACTCGAATTAATAGTTACATAAATAGTTAATTAGTTTTTTACAATTTTTTATTAATTGCTACATTTGACTCTAGTTTAAAAAATATGTTGTACACAAAACTAGTTAATTCACTACTTAATTTGCTATAACTCGAATTAATAGTTACATAAATAGTTAATTAGTTTTTTACAATTTTTTATTAATTGCTACATTTGACTCTAGTTTAAAAAATATGTTGTACACAAAACTAGTTAATTCACTACTTAATTTGCTATAACTCGAATTAATAGTTACATAAATAGTTAATTAGTTTTTTACAATTTTTTATTAATTACTACATTTGACTCTAGTTTAAAAAATATGTTGTACACAAAACTAGTTAATTCACTACTTAATTTGCTATAACTCGAATTAATAGTTAGATAAATAGTTAATTAGTTTTTTACAATTTTTTATTAATTGCTACATTTGACTCTAGTTTAAAAAATATGTTGTACACAAAACTAGTTAATTCACTACTTAATTTGCTATAACTCGAATTAATAGTTAGATAAATAGTTAATTAGTTTTTTTACAATTTTTTATTAATTGCTACATTTGACTCTAGTTTAAAAAATATGTTGTACACAAAACTAGTTAATTCACTACTTAATTTGCTATAACTCGAATTAATAGTTAGATAAATAGTTCATTAGTTTTTTACAATTTTTTATTAATTGCTACATTTGACTCTAGTTTAAAAAATATGTTGTACACAAAACTAGTTAATTCACTACTTAATTTGCTATAACTCGAATTAATAGTTAGATAAATAGTTAATTAGTTTTTTACAATTTTTTATTAATTGCTACATTTGACTCTAGTTTAAGAAAGAAATTTCAAGGCTTTATGGTGCGGAAAAGGTACGGTTACAAAATTATTTTGCAAACTTTGATGGACGTGTTACTGTATGTTCTGACATATGGGAGGATACTTATCATAATTTACATTATTTGGGTCTGACTGTACATTATATTGATAATGATTGGCATATGCATAAACGTGTTCTTGCTTTCCGTGAATTTAATGATCGTCACACCGTTGAACATATTTATATTTTGATTGAACGTATTTTAATTGAGTATAATTTAATTGATAAGATGTTTGCTATTGGTTTTGATAATGCTACTAATAATACTTCTGCTATTCCTAGATTGCGCGAATTGTGTGGTTCTACTTCTTTGATGGGTAGATTTTTTCATCAACGATGTGCATGTCATGTTCTAAATTTATGTGTGCAACATGGTCTAAAAGCGTTGGGAGCATCGTTGGAGGTAGTCAAGGGGGGGATTAGACGTATTTGGGGTAATGGACAACTTAGGAAAAAATGGCATGATTATTTGATAGAAAGAGGTGAGAGATATGTGGCTTTTCCAAAAGATTTGTTTATTCGTTGGAATAGTACCTATAAGTTAATTGGAGTTCTTCTTAGATATAAACAACATTTTCCTGCTTTTATGAAACAATATGATAACTATATTATAAACTCGGCTGAAATCGACACATGTGAAAAAATTTGTAATGCTTTGATATATTTTAATAATGCAACTGAAACTTTTAGTCATGTTTATAAACCTACCTCAAACCAATTTATTCGTGAAGCTGTTAATCTCGCCGGTGCTTTTTCAAATTTTGAGAATGCTGATTATGTGAGTTATTTTGCTGGTTTTATGAAGGAAAAGTTTTTAAAATATTATTCACATATTCCGCATATTTATGGTATTGCATTTGTTCTCGATCCTCGTTTTAGACTTGGTTCTTTAGAAGAATGTTTGAATTATTATTATGCTGCTTTTTTTGGTCCATTGCCAATGTATGAGGACAACCCAATTCATCCGAAAAAAGAATACAACGAGGTTAGTGATATATTTTATGCATTATTCAATGAGTTTCATGCACAATATGGCAATGCGCCCCCTCCCCCGACACAAACATCATCTAAAGGAAAATCAATTTTCAAATCTACGTTTGCCAATCTTATTAAAAAAACAAAATCAACTCCCGCTACACAACAAAGCACAATTAATGAGATTTCTTTGTATTTAACTTATGATGTTGATTTTGAAGAAGATGATGATTTTGACGTACTAAACTGGTGGAAGGGAAAAGAAAGAATGTTCCCGGTTTTAGCAAAGATGGCTAAGCAAGTGCTATCAATGCCGGTTTCAACGGTTGCCGTGGAACAAGAATTTAGTTCGGCCGGCAATGTTCTAACACAAACCAGAACGAGGTTGAGCGCTGAATCTCTTGAGATGCTTATATGCTACCACGATTGGTTGAAAGCAGCACGTAGAGCTCAAGAAATTGACATCACTCCATCCCAACACTTTATGGATGAATCTACAACAGAGGGTGACTCTACCTATGCCGGAGATTCCGATTAAAAACAATTAAAGTTCCTATTTAATTTTCAAATGTAGTTCCTATTTCATTTGAAATAAATGCACTTGAAGTTTGTTTTTTAATACTTGTATAAAACTATAAAGTATAAAATATAAATTAAAAAAAAAATATTTAACCGACCCGGCCCGGCCCGGCCCGGCGGGTGGCCCGACCCGTGACCCGGGCGGGTGGCCCGGCCCGAACCGGACCCGTCCAACCCTCGGGCCGGTCCCGGGCCCATGTTCTAAGAACCGGCGGCCCGACCGGGCCTAGGCCCGGCCCGGGCCCGACCCGACCCGAATCCATCCCTACCTAGCATGCTTGTTAGCTACACTGTTGGTTGACCTTCGACATACTTGACTTCAACATTTGCTTGACCAAGCAAAATATCCCCTACAACTACATCCAAATATGAGTTGCCATCCTCTTGCTGAATCCTCAACACCACGACCAATGAATCTCATTCAATTTTAACTCTGATCCAGTTTTGGTAGATGACCCATTGAAGGACCGCTTTGAGTTCTAGAGCTTCTGTATTCTAAACACTTCTCTATAAAAAAAGTTCTCTTCCGCATTTCTTTCTGGGCCGACACCTTCCTCCTGGGTCCTGCCTCTTTTCACATGGACACCGACGCCTCCTATGATTCGCTCGCCTTCAAGACAGTCCATGGAGTCTTATTAGACCGACTCCAGTGTTGTCCCGCCTGTTCGTGACCGGTTTGCCAGCCCTACCTTATTCGGCAGTCCGAGTCTTTTGCTTCCGCATCAGCCTGAGTCAGTTGGCTGTCGTTCAATTCGGTTGTTCCACCTATGTCGGAGTCGTTCGCTGCTTTAGCTCAAGGCATGGATTTTCGAGTTCCATCCATGACCAATATTGTGACCACGAAATTCTACATTGTATAAGCTAAAATGTCAGATTTTTATTAGTTATTTTAATTATTTTAAGAAATTTTATCAACTTAGAATCTAAAAGATGTGTTTACTATCAACAAGGGGCATGAAAGATAAAATGTGTCGATAAAGGGTTCGAATGATTAAAAATTTTGTACTTAATAATTTATACGGAATATATATATATATATATATATATATATATATATATATATATGAAAGAATAATTTATATTATTTACTTAAAAGCTATACATGCACACTAACTATAAGAGTTCATTTGATGTTTTAATAATGTCATTTGGTT